CTTCAAGCTCTACTACAAAGCCACAGCAATCAAGACAATTTGGTAGTGATGCAAGACCCATACATCAATGAAACAGCATAGAGAGGCCAGATATAAACTGACACATATATGGCCAATTAATATATGATAAAAGAGCCATGGACATACAATGGGGAAATGACAGCCTCTTCAACAGCTGGTGTTGGCAAAACTGGAGAGAGTCATGTCAGAGAATGAAAATGGATTATGGTCTAACTCCATACACAAAAGTAAACTCAAAATGGATAAAAGACCTGAACGTAAGTCATGAAACCATTGAAGTCTTCAAAGAAAACACAGGCAAAACTCTCTTGAATATAAACATGAGCAACTTTTTCATGAACGACTCTCCTTAGGCAAGGAAAACAAAGGCAAAAATGAACAAGTGGGATTATATCAAACTAAAAAGGTTTGAATAGCAAAGGACACCATCAGTAGAACAAAAAAGGATCCTACCATATGGGAGAATATATTCATAAATGACATATCCAAAAAGGGGTTGACATATAAAATATATAAAGAGCTCACATGCCTCAACAAACAAAAAGAAAATAACCCAATTAAAAAATGGGTGGAAGATCTGAACAGACACTTCTCCAAAGAAGAAATTCAGATGGCCCACAGGCACATGAAAAGATGTTCAACATTGCTAAGCATCAGAGAAATGCAAATTAAAACCATAATGAGATATCACCTCATACAAGTTAGGATGGCCAACATTCAAAAGACAGACAACAACAAATGCTGGCAAGGATGTGGAGAAAGGGGAACCCTCCTACACTGCTGTTGGGAATGTAAGTTAGTTCAACCATTGTGGAAAGCAGTATGGAGGTTCCTCAAAAACTAAAAATAGAAATACCATTTGACCCAGGAATTCCACTCCTAGGAATCTGCCCTAAGAATGCAGCAGCCCAGTTTGAAAAAGACATATGCACTCCTATTGCAGCACTATTTACAACAGCCAAGAAATGTAATCAACCTAAGTGTCCATCAGTAGATGAGTGGATAAATAAGATGTGGTATATATACACAATGGAATAGTATTCAGCCATAAGAAGAAAGCAAATCCTACCATTTGCAGTAACATGGATGGAGCTAGAGGGTATTATGCTCAGTGAAATAAGCCAGGTGGAGAAAGACAAGTACCAAATGATTTCACTCATTTGTGAAATATAACAACAAAGCAAAAACTGAAGGAACAAAACAGCGGCAGACTCACAGAATCCAAGAACGGGCTAACAGTTAACAAAGGGAAAGGGACTTGGGAGGATGGGTGGGAAGGGAGGGATAAGGCTATTAAGGGGCATTATGATTAGCACACATAATATAGGTGGGGCACGGGGAAGGAATTATAGCACAGAGAAGACAAGTAGTGACTCTACCGCATCTTACTATGTTGATTGACAGTGACTGTAATGGGATATGTGGTGAGAACTTGATCATAGGGGGAATGTAGTAACCACAATGCTGCTCATGTGAAACCTGAGTGTAAGGTTGTATATCCATGGTACCTTAAGAATAAAAAAAAAGAAAAATAAAAAAGAAATGAATAAATAAATAAAAGAAGACATACAACATTCACATCAGACAAAATAGACTAAGACAACAGTGATAAGGAGAATAATTATTTAAAAAGGAACCATTTCATTGAGAAGATACAATAATCCTAAACCAAAATACATGTAACAGTAGAGCTGCACAATATTCAAGATTAAAATCAGTAAAATTATAGGAGAAACTGACAAATCAACAAACACCTCTGTCAGGTGCCAAAAAAACTAAGCAAACAGAAAATAGTCACAAAGATACAGAAGACTGGATACAGACTAAGAAACTAGAACTAAAAGATACATAAAAGAACTATAAGAAAAATTAATGTAAACTGGACACATACCAGAGCATGGAATCTCTCTCTCCCTTTCCTCCTCCAACCTCCAACCCATATTCTCACCAAAAGTTGGGAAGAGGGAGGCAGAGGCAAGGTGAAACACTCCCAACACATGCAGAAACTATAAATGTACTTTAAGGTACATAAACCAGTTTCACAAACAGAAGATCCTAATAGTCTTTTCTGGCCAAATTTAACACGTATAGCTCTAGCAATGGGAATGAAATAACGATGTTCATTGGCTTGCCATATATATACATAATATATTTTAAGAACCATATATGTTTAGAAATAATGCTGTTTCCACTTTCTGTTGAATCAGTAGTTCGACAACTATTAATTGCACCTCTCCTACACGCCACGCACTCTTCTGGAAGTGAACAAAAGACAATCTCCTGCGCTCAAAATCTCTTAAACTCCAGTGGGGCAGAGGGTCAGACAGTAACAGAAAGTAGTAAACTACGTATGCCAGATTCTGAAAAGTGCTAAATAGAAAAGCAAGCAGACTAAAGGGAACTGGGAGTGCAAGGATAGATGGAGGATGTCGTTCTGTGCACAGTGTTCAGGTAACGACTTGAGCAGACCTGGAGAAAGTGACAGAGCAGGTCTGTGGGAGGAGTATTCTAGTCAGAAAACAGCAGTATTCAAACTCTGAGAAGGATCATCACCACTGGTGGCTTCTGCACTAGTGACATATTCTGAGCTGTCTTCAAGCACCCAGAAAGCTTAGTCTTCACATGCATCCAAACTGATTACACAGCACTTTTTAAATCTATATGTGGCACTGTCAATGGAAGTTGAAATTTCATGATGAACACTAATTTGTAATAACATAGGGCAACTGCTTTTATTTATCCTACACACATATATTCAAGATTTCACAAACCTAACCACTTACCATATTGTTTGTTAGTGATATTTAAAGGCTAACATACATAATCAGTGAATCTGGTTAAATTTCTCAAAAAATACAAAAAAGTTGAAGAGTCAAGGAATAGGAGAAAATAATCACAATGCATAAGTATTAGCAAAGACTTATTCTCCAAACTACAAGGACCATCTGAAAAAATTGGCAAAGACATTCAAGATGTATGAATAGTCAGTTCAGAGAAGACGAAACCAGAATGGCTCACAAATAGTCCAAATATGCAAATTAAAGAAGTTATTTCATATCCCAGAGGTAAACAAGCAATTAAAAGCTAACAATAACAAATGTTAGCAATAGTGGGCACTCTCGTTCATTTCTTCTGGGACCATAAATTAGACATGGCTTTGGATGTATCTAGCCAAAATAATAGTACACATACTAGAAAACTGTGTTTGCTGTAGGTACCTGGGAGATCCTTCATCAAGTTAAGAAAGTAATTAACAGTTTTTAACAAGTATGGTATCTAAAAATTTCTGAGCTCTCTCTCATGGGGACTACTGTTCCTGTTAAATCCCACTGGTCCTTCAGAGCCCAGACACTCCACTAATTTCCATGCCTCCATGAAGGGCTTCACTGGCCTGGATAACACTGAACTATTCCTTACATCAGGGTTGCCAAACTTGTCTGTTGTTGGACTCAAAGCCCAGAACACTTCTCAAACTAATCAAATCACAATCTCTGGCAGTGGGACACAGACATCAGTATTTTTTGAAGTTCATCAGGTGATTCCAATGAACAGACAAGACAGAGACCACTGCCTTGTAGTACTAAATATCCCTTATGTGAGCCACTCAAAATATGAGACTTTCAAATATTGCTTAGTTGTGATTTTTCATGACAAAAATACAAGCCACTTAAGGACAAGTTCAAAAGCCTAGTACAGTAGAATGTATTGAAATGCAGAAAAGTAATGACACTGGTTCTCAAGTGGGGGTAATTTGATAATATCTGGAGACATTTTTTGGTTGTCACAGCAGTGGGGAAAGATGCACTAGTGACACCCAGTAGGCAGACTAGCGGTGCTACTAAGCACCCTCTGTGGCAAAAGGCAGCCCCACCCCAACAAAGAATCATCCAGCCCCAAATGGCAACAGTGCCCAAACTGGAAATCCCTGCCCTAGAGAAGGGCAAGCATCAAAGAGCTGACTGGAAATACATAAAATGGCCCTTAAGCAAAAAGAAAAAGACCATTAGGAGTTTATAATATAAGAACTTCTATAAATTCTACATCCCCCCTGCATGTCCTAGAAAATATAGAAACTGTCAAGTTACTAAGCATTCCTCCTGGGACAAGGTAAGGAAAGGCATGTGAACTGTGAGAAGAAACCCTGAATGACTCTAATCACCTTTCTCGGGAGGCTACCCTGTCCCCCACACCCCACCTCTACACTGAGATTCAGCAACAGTTTTTCTGGGTGAAACAACAAATTAACTGTAGAATGAGTTTAGTAACACCTGTTAAATGTGGTTAAACAAACACGTTAAGTTCAATTCACATATTAGGAATCAATGAACTTTTATTTACCATGAAGAGCTGCCTTGCATTTCCTTTGTTCTGAGCCCTCACCAACTTCCCTCACATATTCACCAACCTTGCTCAGTGTGTTAGTTCTGATGTTACTCATAATCAATTAAGATACTTTTTGTACAGCTGTGTTTATTAAATTAAGGCTGCAATTTATAATCATCTGGTGAGATTTAAAAATAACTGATACCTAGCCATGTTTCTCCCCCAATTCTGATTTAGCTGGTCTGGGTGGGACTCAGGCACTTGGGGGTATTTAAAACCCCTAGTGTTATTCCAGTGTGCAGCCAAGGTTGAGAGCCTTTGTCCTACAGAGACATATAATTCAATTAACTGCTTCATTACTCCAACTAGGCCAGACCTAAGTTTTTTCACTTCCAGGAAATAGGTGACTGTAGAAGAGAAACATTTTCAGCTCGTAAATAACCTCCAGCTATGGAAAATGGGGAAGAATATGAACATTTTCTAAGTACGTATAAAATTATATAATAGAAATCAGTTGGAAAATGGGGTTTAATGTTGTACTTTCCTTTATAAACATCTTAGCAAGTATATCTGAGAAATAATCTCAACAGAAATAATTTTAAGTTTTGGAATAGGAAGATAATAACCAATGGTTAGCTTGGTTTACAAATAATTACCTCAATCACTGGGGTCTCAGCACTTGCAGTGAGAATGACTCTGCTTGCCAAGGCTTCTGCTTGTACTATTGTCTCAGCATCTGCTGAAAACGGCCAAGAAGCAACACTGAATATACATCTGAAAATCCCAGGATCGGATGGCATGAAAAGAACTTTTATCTCTTCTGTGGCATGAGGTCTTATGATGACTTTATTCTTGAAAACTAAACAAGGATACACTGAAAGGTCCACCTTAAAAAAAAGAGCCACATGGTTTATTATGAAATGGCTTCATACTGGAAATTGAGAAGCAGAATCAACTCGCTTAAGGGATCTGAATTAGCTTAAGCAAACCACCAAATCTAGAAATTTATAACCTCTTCAAAAGTACCCAAGTTTTGTAACTCATATCTGTAAAGTACAATTAGTCAAAATAACGAAGCCTTATGATGGTAAGATGAATTTGTGTCCCCTGGTCTATCTTAGAGGTAACAGTTACTTATACCCTCACTTCCCTTGAAAGATGACACTGGAAAAGGCAGCCCTTCACAGCACTGGACACAGTCCTGGGACCAGGCTTGTGCAGCTGTACAAGCAGGGGTTACACTAATCTCTAGGGTCTTCACGAGGTCTTCCAGTTTATGGTTATGACTCACTCCAAACCCTCCATCTTCAGTGCAAGTGGGATCTTCTTTTCTACTCTCATTTCAGAGACAACACTACCTTCTGTCTGACCCTAGAATGAGGTCTCCAATCTCACCTCCTCCTACCCTCAATACTTTCCTCCAGTCACCTGTTTTCCAACTAGCCTTGGAATCATAGGGTAAGGCTGGGAAAAGGGAGGAGAATGAGTAGACCCAATCTTATTTTACCAGGTGAATAAGTTTCTACTGGGAGGTGAGAGGGAAGAGTAAGTCCATCCACTGATGTCCATCTGCAAGAGCAGTCATATAAGCAGGAAGTTCCGAAGCAGCAGTAGCTGACCATATTTCTACCCTCCCTACTCAATGACATCCAAATGGTCATTGCCATTGTGAGAAGAGATTAAGAATATAGTATTTTAGCAGCTCTACTTGGTCACATGACAGACCCTTACTATAAGAGGTAATGTTAACACTGTATTTCCAGGTTATTTCAAAAGATCATGTAGGAACATGACCAGAGAAATTAGTGAAAAAGACTTCACTTACTAAATGAAGGCATACATAGCCAGAATAACTTGCTTCTTTGATAAATGACAGTAAGATATATTCAACTACATTTAACAAAACCAACAAGTAGATACCAGAAACTCAGAGCTTTCAGTCAGTATTTTAAATAGCACTAAAAGCCCATTCACATGATTTTACAAATAAATAACAGTGAAATATAAAGAATAATAATAAATGATGGAAAATTAGAAATACATTCAGATCCCACTTATTACACTGGAAATACAACAAAAGGGGGACCAAGAAAAATACCCCAATTCCGATGATCCTGTGCAAAATGTGAAGCATGGGGGGACCGAATCCCCAGTATAAAAGGAAGAACTACATGATGAAGAAATCCAGCATTAATTATAATGCAATTGCTAAGTCAAAGAAGAAAGACACAGAAGGCTTACCTTTTCACCATTAACACTAACACTGAGAACCCCGATGCTGACCTGCAGCCAGCGGTCAGTTGGATTAAGTACACTAAGGAGAGTTTGTGAAGCAATGCCAACACAGCAAGCATGAGGAAACTGCAATTCCTCAGGTACTCTTACTTTTCCTGGGTAAAAATAAAGCATAGCCAAGGTCAAGTTACATCAAACACCTGATTAAAAACACAACTGGTTCAATGGCAATCTTTATATGACTACCTGTGTATAACCCAAGAGCTAAGGTATAAAGTGCCCTGGATCTTTAGGAGTCTCTGACATTGTGTAAGCCTCAGCACAGGCTGGTCAACAACTGTTTTCCGGCTGTATCCAGCCCAGGAAGAAAAACAATTAAAATTGATCTGACTCACAATTCACAGCTTATCAACTCTTTGATGTTATTACCTATCAGTAATCTTTTCCTTTTTTTTTCTCCCACAAATATAAGCCACTGCCTAACCTAATAAGAAACTACAGAGACTCTACCTTTCAAAGTATGCACATCTACTCAGATTTTCAATATGACCAATCTTTTGCCATCCAATCTTTTGCAGGAACTAAATTTGGAATTTCCCTGAGAAGAAAAAACCAGTAGGGAAGACAGCACAGTGGTGACTGTGTGTATTATGTCAGGAAGAGCACAGCACCCAGGTCTGCTTAGCAGGGTTCCTGTCAGTAAGAGAAACCACAGAGTGGAAGATACTGTCTGTAGTATCACAACTGTTACCCCCCAAAGCCTTAAAAGCTGTAAGGAGATGCACTCCTTCAGAGAGCCATCTCTGAACTGGATGCTTCCTAGCTGAAAGAATAACAGAAATCTGAGTTCAGGGCAGGAGAGAGAAAGGAAGACAAAGGCATAGGGAGTTTTGCTTGCGTAACTGTTCATGTCTTTCCAAGGCCACCTGAGAGACCCCTGCACAGAAATAGATTATTGTCTGTGTTTTCAATTCAGAAGAAAAAAACTTACAAGAAATTCAGGCCAACCTGTATCTCCTTAAAACAAAGTCGTTTTGTAGTCTCATTTGAGAAAATTCAATTTTTTATAGTAAGCAACAATAAGCAGTAACACAGAAAAGGCATCTTACCAGATCCTGACATCATTCCTGAATCCCACGGTTCAATTCCACAGTTTGCACCAACAGGCTGCCCAGGAAAAAGTTTTGCTGTGCTTAGAAAATTCTGATTTAAGGCATTAGAATATAGGTTACAAAGAGAAGAACCCATCAATCCAGAACCGTTATTTTGACCTAGACAGATCCCCATGTGCTCGCCTGCCACTGGCACAGCAGGGTAAGGACAACTTCCTAAGAGTCCACAGGCTGGAGCGCTACCAGCATGTGGCAGCACCATGTCTCTGGCAGAAGGCAGTGCTCCCGAATTCTGCTGGGTGAAGGGTACTGTGGGGAAAGCATGCAGAGCCGAGAATGCAGGGGCTGCAGGACCGTGAGGCTCGGTGCTGGGATCTGCGGACTGCGGGGCTCTGGAGGCCTGCTCAGGAGGAACCTGGCCACTCCACCTGCAGTGGGCTTTCAGGGCATCTCCAGAAGTTATCCTGTCACCATGGTTCACAGTCACAGGGTGCACTACGGGGTGGAGTGGCGGCATTGACACAGCTGGGAGGCTGTGATCTGACCCGCCTGGTACAGCCAGGCTCATCTGGCTCAGTTCACTGGGGCCTGACTTCATACTTCTTGTGCTGCTTTTCAATACATCTCCACTTTGGCAGCAAAGCTCTTTCCTCAAGCTAAAGTTTGGTTTTAGATCTTCAGGTTTGCTAGTCAGAGAAGTGGTTTCAGTCACATTTCCCATATCTGAGTTTTTCTGGATAATATACGATAATGTTCTTTTTCCTCTGCTTTCAAATGGACCTTGTTCTCTTAACTTTTCCACAGCCTGTTCTTCAGATGGGACTGGACTGCCTTGGATAATTGTGGTACTCAACTCACTGGTGATGTCACTCTGAGTGCGACAAAAAATGTTAAGAAATAACCCACATATAACCTAAATAATACAAATTCAAACATGCTCATATGAACTCAAACAACATAATAAAAAGATCTACATGACATTTTTCAGACATTTCAATGTGTCTGAAAGACAGCTGGCTTACACAAAGCAGTTTTGCAGTTGTGAAATGCAGGATTAAAAGTCAGAAAATTTGCATTCATTGTTTTATAGAAATAATTATGAAGAGACTAAAGAGGAGGGAGGAGGGGTACACTAATTATATCTGAAAAATTTACATAGATAAAGGACCAGAGACAAGTAACTGTGCAGTTTTAAGGGATCTTTTCTGTAAGCTGTGTAATAGAAATCTAAGTAAGTTAGTAACAAAGGAATGGGGTGGGGGTCAAGGAGGTTGAGCAAGCCTGCAAATGATAGTGACATGAAGTTAGATAGCTCTGAAGGCAGCTCCAGGGCTCTCACTCCTGCTATTTGTCTATATTGCTGTTAGGCTTGCTGATGCTTTTTATGAGCTCCATTTTCCAATGTCAAAATTATGTAGTTCTATGTTCTTAAGTATGGAGTAACAGCCCTACTAGTCAATGTCCATATGCTCATTTTATCATGTATAACCTTAGCCGTTACAGCTATAGCTCTGCAAGGTGGACCAGCTGGAATATACACACAAATTAAAATAAGCTTAGCCTTCACTGATTATTCTTGGTACTTGGTTTGGAAATTTCTCCTAGACCAATGCTTTAGAAACAAAGAAAACAATAAACAAAGATCGGATAATTTGTTAGTCATCACCATCAATCAATCAATCAATAAAAATAACTAACAGCCAATATGTACTCAGTGGTGACTTCTTGGTGCCAAGCCCTATCCTCACATCACTGTCCCTCTTTACAGATGAAGAAATAGGCTTAGGGAAATTATAATCTGTCTCATAAAGTAGCTGAGAGGCATCATCAAAAAGACAGCATTCAGTGAAACAAGCATACAATTTGCCTAAGAGGACATCGTTACATCGTATGTATACTAACTTTGGTGAATGTATTTAGTAACAGATTGGTAGAGGTCTATATTGCATACTCACAGGTCATATTCACCTCATTGACAAACTAAATATTTTCACATTTACAAAACACACACAGATGATAAAATCCTAGCTTCTCTCACATAAATCAGGTCTGTCTGCTTCTCTCTCACCCTCAACTGCCACAACCTTAGTCCCCGCATTATCTTTCACCTGACTGACTATAGTAGCCTGTGTCAAACTATCCCGGTTTCAATCTTGCCCCCACCTTCAATGCCTCCTCCATACTGCTCCTGCAAATGACCTTTTAAAACACAGATCAGGTCAGTGTTCAGTGTTCTCCTTATTAAGAGGCTTCAAACTCCCAAATTTTACAAAAAGACTCTTCCTGATTTGGCCCATCCTTTCCCCAAGTAAAAGGTTCCCAGAAGCCACTCCAAACTTCTTTGTGTATTTTATATAACTCCCGCCTTCCACCCCACCTTCCTGCTTCCTCTCTGCCTAATCCCAACCAGTCCAACAAACTATGGCTTCAATGTATTACCTGTCCTTCCCCAAAATAAACTTCTGCTAAACCACTCTCCCCAACCCCCATCAGGTTTTTAGTCATTTCCTTCTGAATCCCCGATCATAGGTCTTATCATAGTGCATTTCACTCCACAGCTTGTCTTGCATGTGTTCTCTACCAGGCTGAGAACTTTTTGAGGGCAGATACTAAAATATTTGTACTCCTAGTGCCTACCCAGCGTAAGCAGTTGTTCGATCAAAATGCACACACAAATGCACATATACACATTTATGTTAAAGGCAAAATAGCAACAGAAATTGTACAGGCCTGCACTACAGACTGAGTTTTACATCAGTAACACTTTGGAGCCAGAAGGCTTACTAAAGAAATAAAGTGCTGCTCACCTTTTGGTCCTCAAGGCCATGATGAGAGGTTGTGGTGGGATAGGTGCTCTCTTGTTCAGACACATAAGTCAGCCTGCTCACACCAGCCTGTGAACACATCAACTGACACAACTCACTCCTACAGGGGGGCTTCTGATGATGAACTGTGGAACACTCGGCAGCACACCTGAGAGAGAAATCTGGTGGTTGGGGTTGTCCATTCCATAATTATCTACACCAGCAAAAGGCCATTCCTGCTTGCCTCAATCTTGTCAAATCGACAGTTTCTGCTCAGGCTAGCATTTACAATAAATCAACCATGCATTCAATTTTTCTACCCTTAGTTATCTGAATTATACAGTATATTCCTATGAATGAAGTACCTGATATGCTACCATAAAAGCAAAATGTTGTGGCATTTTCATTAAATGTGTAGACAGTCACATAACATCAGCTTTTATCCAATAAAAATTTACTAATATCTGATGGGCAGAGCATTAAAAAATTCCTGCCCTCTGGCGGACATCTCCTCCCAAAACCATATATATGTATATATATATATTTTTTTGAGAGGGCATCTCTCATATTTATTGATCAAATGGTTGTTAACAACAATAAAATTCAGTATAGGGGGGTCAATGCTCAATGTACAATCATTAATCCATCTCAAGCCTAATTCTCGTCAGTCTCCAATCTTCTGAAGCATAACGAACAAGTTTTTACATGGTGAATGAATTCTTACATAGTGAATAAATTCTTACATGGTGAACAGTACAAGGGCATTCATCACAGAAACTTTCGGTTTTGATCATGCATTATGACCTATAAACAATCAGGTCAAATATGAATATTCGTTTGATTTTTGTACTTGATTTATATGTTGATCCCACATTTCTCCTATTATTATTATTATTTTTATTTTTAATAAAATGCTGAAGTGGTAGGTAGATGCAAGATAAAGGTAGAAAACATAGTTTAGTGCTGTAAGAGGGCAAATGTAGATGATCAGGTGTGTGCCTATAGACTAAGTATTAATCCAAGCTAGACAAGGGCAACAAAACATCCACGGATGCAGAAGATTTCTCTCAAAACAGGGGGGGTGAGGTTCTAAGCCTCACCTCTGTTGATCCCCAATTTCTCACCTGATGGCCCCCCTGCGACTGTGCCTGTCTTAGGTTGTTCCTCCCTTGAGGAATCTTACCCGTCTCTGGCTAACCAGTCATCTTCCAGGGCCATACAGGGAAATGTAAAGTTGAAAACCATATATATTTTTCAAAATACAACAAATTGAACTATTCCTAAAAGAGAGACCAGAAGATACAGTACAACAGCCAGGCTACATTTACATGTGCAAGAATTCAGCATCTGACAAAGGGGGTGAAATACAAAGCCGTGACCCAGAGGGACCAGAGCACTTTCCCCATCCCAGCTCACCAGTGGGAGGAAAAGAGTCAGAGTGGGGTGAGAGTGGAAGCACAGGACTATTAAATAACCAGCCCTAGTAATCTGCATCAGGAGCATAGACACACATTGCATGGTGTAATGGATATTAGAGAAATGGAAGGGTCCGAGATGGAGACTGCGAGTGGGTCCCCACAGCCGGCTCCCCTGGGACAAAAGAAAAGCCAGTGCTTTTTAAGTCTTAAAAGGACAAGGGCTCAACAGCTGAACAAAATCGTCCAAGCACACTCAGCCCAGCAGGCTGGAAATCTTGAGGAACTTTGGGATCCGTAACCCTCTGGGGGGTAAACCAGCCCCGAAGCCCCTCACAGCGATAAGCAGCCTGCCATTCGTTTCCCCTGACCGGCACAGCGAGTGGACCGGCTGACCTGCCACAGCTGCGGAGCAGCCGGAGAGCAGCCCAGCCCACAGCAACCACAGAGTCTCATCCCAGCGTGCAGCTAACTGGGACAGGCAGCAGAAGCTGGAGCAAGGTTTGGAAAGCACGAAGGGGCACCATTCTCGCAGGAGAATACACCCAGTGTGGCTGCGAACCCTGGCAGTGTTTTAGGCAAGCCCGAGAGTGGCTGCACCCGCGGCAGCTCAGGAGATTATCCCAGAGACTGCCTCCTGGTGTATGGGTAACCAGCACAGGAAGCGGAAGCTGGAGCAAGGACCGGAAGGCACAAAGGGGTGCCGTTCTCATAGGAGAACACACCAGGATAGGCAGTGACCCCCTGCAGTGCGCTAGGCTAACCGGAGGGATGCCCCCCCTCACAGTAGCTCAGCAGATTAACCCAGAGGCTGCTGCCAGTGCGCGGTTAGACTGCACAGGCAGCAGAGAAGAGCAAGGCGACCCATAAGCAGGAAAGGACTTTGTTCTCCCAGCTGACACACGTGCCACGTGCCTGCGACCATTTCCATCACCATGGAAAGGCAGAAGAATCTGGCCCAGTCAAAACTCACTCAGACAACCCCAGACAGAGGGCCTAGTGAGAAAGATATAACCAAACTCCCTGAAAAAGAATTCAAAATAAAACTCATAACCATGCTGAGGGAGCTGCAGAGAAATATGCAAGAGCTAAGGGATGAAGTCTGGAGGGAGATAAGAGAAATGAAATAGAAGGGCTGAAGAACAGACTGGATGAGGTGCAAGAGACTGTTAATGGAATAGAAATTAGAGAATAGGAACACAGAGAAGCTGAGGCAGAGAGAGAGATAAAAGGATCTCTAGGAATGGAAGAATATTAAGAGAACTATGTGACGAATCCAAATCAAACAATATTCACATTATAGGGGTACCAGATGAAGAAGAGAGAGAAAAAGGGATAGAAAGTGTCTTTGAAGAAATAATTGCTGAAAATGTCCCCAAGCTGGGGAAGGAAATAGTCTCTCAGACCATGGAAGGCCACAGATCTCCTAACACAAGGGAACCAAGGAGGACAACACCAAGACATATAACAATTACAATGGCAAAGATCAAAGACAAGGACAGAGTAATAAAGGCAGCCAGAGAGAAAAAAAAGTCACCTACAAAGGAAAACCCATCAGGCTATCATCAGACTTCTCAACAGAAACTTTACAGGCCAGAAGAGAATGGCATGATATACTTAATGCAATGCAACAGAAGGGCCTTGAACCAAGAATACTATATCCAGCAAGATTATCATTTAAATTTGAAGGAGGGATTAAACAATTTCCAGACAAGCAAAAGTTGAGGGAATTTGCCTCCAACAAACCACCTCTACGGGGTATTTTAAAGGGACTGCTCTGGATGGAAGCACTCTTAAGACTAAACAGATGTCACCACAGGAAATAAAATCACACAAAGAAAGCAGAAAAACCAAATACCAACTAAAGACAAAAAATAAAATCAACTATCCACAAAAACAGTCAAAGGAAACACAAAAGAGTACAGAATAAAACACCTAACATATCAAGAATGGAGGAGGATGAATAAGAAGGGAGAGAAATAAAGATTCATCAGACTGTGTTTATAATAGGTTAATAAGTGAGTTTAGTTAGACAGTGAGATACTAAAGAAGCTACCCTTGAATCTTTTGTAACCACGAATACAAACCCTGCAATGGCAATAAATACAGATATATCGATAATCACCCCAAATGTACATGGACTAAATGTACCAATCAAAAGACACAGAGTAATAGAATGGATGAAAAAGCAAGACCCCTCTATGTGCTGCTTACAAGAGTCTCATTTCAAACCCAAAGACATACACAGACTAAAAGTGAAGGGATGGACAAAGATATGTCATGCAAACAACAGGGAGAAAAAAGCAGGTATTGAAGTACTTATATCAGACAAAATAGACTTCACAAGAAAGAAGCAAGAGATAAAGAAGGACATTACATAATGATAAAGGGGTCAGTCCAACAAGAGGTTATAACGATTAAAAATATATATTCACCCAACACAGGAGCACCAACATATGTGAAACAAATACAAACAGAATTAAAGGAGGAAACAGAATGCAGTGTGTTCATTTTAGGAGACTTCAACACACCACTCACTCCAAAGGACAGATCAACTAGACAGAAAATAAGTAAGGACACAGAGGCACTGAACAACACACTAGAACAGATGGACCTAAAAGACATCTACAGAACTCTACACCCAAAAGCAGAAGGACACACACTCTTCTCAAGTGCACACAGAACATTTTCCAGAATAGACCATATAGTAGGCCACAGAAAGAACCTCAGGGAATTCAAAAAGATTGAAATTGAACTAATCAACTTTTCAGATAACAAAGGTATAAAACTACAAATAAATTGTACAAGGTAAACAAAAAGGCTCACAAACACACAGAGGCTTAACAACATGCTGCTAAATAATCAATGCATCAGTGACCAAATTAAAACAGAGATCAAGCAATACATGGAGAAAAAGTGACAACAACAGCACAACACCCCAACTTCTCTGGGATGCAGTGAAGCAGTTCTAAGAGGAAAGTATATTGCAATCCAGGCCTATTAAAGGAGGAAGAACAATCCCAAATGAATAGTCTAAAGTCACAATTATTGAAATTGGAAAAAGAAGAAAAAATGAGGCCCAAAGTCAGCAAAAGGAGGGACATAATAAACATCAGAGAATAAATAAATATAATTGAGAAGCATAAAACAACAGAAAAAAATCAGTGAAACCAAGAGCTGGTTCTTTGAGGAAATAAACAAAACAGATAAACTTCTAGTCAGATTTCTTAAGAGAAAAAGGGAATCTACACACATAAACAAAATCAGAAATGAGAAAGGAAAAATCATGATGGACACCACAGAAATACAAAGAATTATTACAGAATATTATGAAAATCTAAATGCTAAAAAGCTGCAAAACTGAGAAGAAATGGATAACTTCCTGGAAAAATACAACCTTCCACGACTCACCAAGGAAGAATCAGAAAATCTAAACAGACCAATTACCAGCAACAAAATTGAATCAGTAATCAAAAAACTACGAAGAACAAAACCCCTGGGCTAGATGGATTCACTGCTGAATTTTATCAGACATACAGAGAAAACATGATTCTCATTCTCCTTAAAGTTTTCCAAAAAATAGAAGAGGCGGGAATACTTTCAAACTCATTCTATAAAGCCAGCATGACTCCAATACCAAAACCAGGAAGGACCCCACAATAAAAGAAAATTACAGACCAATATCCCTGATGAACATACATGCAAAAATACTCAATAAAATATTAGCAAGCCGAATTCAAAAATATATCAAGAG